TTGTAAGTCACTTAAGGTGTTTTTGCGGATCATTACGTGCACACGGGAGCGTGTGCCCCGCGTTTTGTTGCGTGCCGCCGGTTTGTTTCCGGGCTCCTTCCACTCAACAGGGGGTCACGTTTATTGTGGCAACGCGCCCATGACAACGCGCCATAGCAACGCGCCCATAGCAACGCATCCATGGCAACGCACCCATGGCGTCCGACTGGAGGAATGCGACGTCCCTCTGCGGGTTTCTGTGCCCGTAGCCCGCGCACTGAGGATGGGATGCGGAGGCTCCGCGGTCCACCCGCTGGCCGGAGAGGAGGTAGGCCCGGGGGGGCAACACCCGGGGCCGGGGGGGGTACCCCCGGGGGGGGGGGGGGTAACACTCGGGGGGCCGGGGGGGGTAATACCCGGGGTCTCCGGTGCCAAGAAACCGACACATACGCAGCTAAATAACTCCAGGAGTCTCAGGAGAACACAAAAAGCACGTGGAGGGCAAAGGAAAATAAGTTTAATATAAAAAAAAAACAAAAAAATCGAATTTTTAATAGCCATCAAGAGGTTTTCTTTGGTTTGAGACACCAAAACTTGGACCGTTTGTCTGCCGTAATTAGGCTGAACTGTCGTAAACGTCATTAGTTGGTTATCTCATTAAACTAGTCAATTATTTAAAGACGTGATTTTAAAGAAAATATGCACAGTTTGCATGATGATATCTAAATATTTGTCATTATTCGGTTATGTTATTTTAGACTTTAGATACTTTGTTTTTATTGTAAACCTTCCTCTTTCATGGTGAGACTAAAAGTACAGAACAGGGTTTGTGTTGTTTCAACACTATTTTCTGTTTAATAGTGATTAATAGTGATTTTTCAGATACATAGTGGATTAAAAAGTGGTTTAAATTTACAATTTTAAGAAATGAAACAACAAATTCTACAATGATAGACAGACAGACAGACAGACAGACAGACAGACAGACAGACAGACAGACAGATAGATAGATAGATAGATAGATAGATAGATAGATAGATAGATAGATAGATAGATAGATATTTTATTCAATCTAATAGTTTTATTGTTGAAACAGGTAAAGTATTGTTGAGTAGTCCCTATTTTCCCCCTTTGACCGTCTCTCTGTTTGTGTCCAGGGTGAGACAGGAAGTAAAGCCGGGGGGCGTGGCGACTCGGCGGGGTCAAAGGTCACGGCTGACAGCGGGGTGGTGGTGGAGCCCACCACGGCGCCCCCCCCAGAGCGGGCGCCCACCCCCCCCCCCCCTCCGGGGGGGGGGGGGGGGGGATCGGGGGCCGCCCTCCCCCAGGGGGCAGCCCCCACCCCCCGGGGGGGCCCCCCTCAGGGCCCCCGCCCCCCCCCCGGCCCCAGGCCAGCCACATCCTGGAGGAGCTGCTGAGCCAGGGCATCATCCCGGAGGGGCGGAGCCTCGAGGGGCGGAGCCAGGAGGGGCGGAGCCAGGAGGGTTGCCATGGCGCCGCCTACAGCATCACGGTGGGGGGGGCAGTCCACGACTTCCTGTCTGTTATTATTACTGTCAGCATCCACCAGTTTCACCCCTATCTCACTCTCTCTCTGTCTCTCTCCCTCTCTTTCTCTCTCTCTCTCTCTCCCTCTCTTTCTCTCTCTCTCGCCCTCTCTCTCTTTCCCTCTCTTGCCCTCTCTCTCTCTTTCTCACCCTCTGTCTCGCCTTCTGTCTCTCTCTCCCTCTCTTTCTCTCTCTCGCCCTCTCTTGCCCCCCCCTCTCACTCTCTCTCTTTCTTTTGCTCATTCTCTCGCCCTCTCTTGCCCCCCCCCTCACTCTCTCTCTTTCTTTTGCTCATTCTCTCACCCTCTCTCTCCTGCCCTCTCTCTCTCTCACCTCTCTCACCATCAAACAGAATATGTGTCAAAACGTCCCATTTCTTCATTTCAAAGGAAAAACAGCAGCTCTGAATCGGTGTGTGTGACTCAGATTTTCAGGATTTTGCCTAAACCCTTTTATTTCTTCTGTTTGGGGGCAGCTGGAGGGGGGGGGCGGGTCCGTGCGGCGGCCCCCGGCCAGGCTGGAGGCTCTGAGGGCCCCCAGACCCCCCAGGAGGGAGGAGGTCGATGAGAAGATGAGGCTGGCCGAGGAGAGACGCCAGGTGCTGAGAGCCTATCAGAACCCTCCTCTTCCTCTTCCTCTTCCTCTTCCTCACCCCCCCACCAGAGATGTATAAAGTACTGGAGTAGAAGTACAAGTACTATATAAAAAAATTGACTTGAGTAAAAGTAGAAGTGTTCTTTCAACACCATACTTAAGTGGAATAACGGAAATACTTAATTTTTTTTTTAACTTAAGTATTGAAAGTAGAAGTATTTAAAAAATTGCTACTCAAGTATTGAAAGTAAAAGTACAGTGGGGGAAATAAGTATTTGACCCTTTGCTGATTTTGCAGGTTTTCCCACTTACAAAGAATGCTTATTTTTCCTCATCAGATGGTTATCAATTTTTATAAATTCATATGATGTGATTTTCTGGAATTTTCTTTGGGATTCTGTCTTTTACTGTTAGAATGTACATATGATTAAAGTTATAGATCGTTGCATTCTTTGTAAGTGGGCAAACCTGCAAAATCAGCAAGGGGTCAAATACTTATTTCCCCCTACTGTATAAGTAAAAGTACAAGTACTGTGTATATTTAAAAAAAGGCAGTCAAAAGTGTGATAGATATTGTTCTTATTATTTCAAACGTGTGAAAGGCCATACAGGTGTTTACAAAAAAACAGAAAACTACATCTGCATTAGCAATCAACAGCACTTCATCTACTATTATTTATTATTCCAGAGTCAGAATCCTGAGCTAAGCCTTTATGCTAGCATGTAGCATACAGCTAGCCAGCTAGGTTAGCTTTAGCTAACGTTATCATACAGCTAACCAGCTAGCTTAGCTGTAGCTAACGTTATCATACAGCTAGCTGGCTAGGTAAGCTTTAGCTAACGTTATCATACAGCTAACCAGCTAGCTTAGCTTTAGCTAACGTTAGCTGCTACGTCCTGAGTGAACAGGAAGAACTGAACTAGCGCTTATTTACTAGCTTATATTTCATTGTATTCTTTAACTTACCTTGATATGCTTCTTTAGTTTAGATGGGGAATTTTTGAAGGCCATGATTTGGCAATCTTTCGGGAGGCTTTTTTTAAATTGGCTATGCTTGATGGCTCAAAACTCCCAATGAGGAGCCAGCTTCTCAAACCCTGACAGAGCTATCTATCATTACGTTTACATATCAGTAACGGGTAACGACTCAGCCCATGAAAGTAAAAGTATGAAATTAATCAAAAACATGTAGTGGAGTAAAAGTAAAAGTAGGGAAAAATAAATACTCCAATATAGTACAGATACTGCATTTTGGTACTTAAGTACATGCCTTAAGTAGTTCCACTTCGTTACTGAACATCTCTGACCCCTCGTCCCTTTTCCAGGTCAAAGAAAACGAGCTGAAGGCCCGACTCCGGAGGAAGTCTGCCCGGGTCCGGGTCCAGGCCCCCGGTGGGGGGGGCGGGGGGGGCCAGGACGGGTCCTTACAGCCGCCCCCCCCCCCGGACCTCTGGGGCCTGCCCCCCCGGGGGTCAGCCGACGGGGGGGAGAGGGTCCGGGAGGCTGGGGGCGACGGCAGGGAGGGCCCAAAGAAACTACCC